CCCCGGTAGTGTGTAAGAATTTAGAAGATCGGTCCCCTAACTTCTCCCCCCTTGCACCATTAACTTCTCCCCCTTTATTTTTTTATGTTATACTATTTCGCGTAGCCGCAAGTGAGTTGGCCTTACCCCCCACCCTCGAGTTAATTAGTCAAAAGGCCTGGAGTAATTGTTGTATTGACATCTGTGTATTATGGAGACTGGAATATATTAAAATTCAATCTACTTAAATCCCCCCGAGTAATTATTGGGACCCCCCCTCCCTCTTATTATTTCAGGTCCCCCTTAAATTATTTAGATTACTGGATTTTTGCCCCTAATTTGATTTTCCCGGATATATCGTGCCTCCTCCGAGAATTAATATATTTTAAATTCCCGGCCAAGGTCACAATGTCTAGAATGACCTCTCTCTGAATATTTAACCCAGATTGACCCCTCCATATTTACAAGTGTGGAAAGAGAAGAGAACGTGGAAGGGACAATAAGGCGGTAGAATGAATACATCTCCAGATCGTCTTGAGCAGACGCCTCAGGAATGCCTCAGCCCCCCCCCCCCCCTCCTGTTATCATTGTTGACACGAAGAATGAGTGAAATTCATTTCATCGAATTGAATAGCTTTTGGAGACTAGCAGAGAGAGACCATTGGTCGGGTTTAATCAAGGATTTTAGTTGGTGAAATGAGGTGCTGGTATACAATATCGGTGATTTTGTAATCTATTCAGAATTACTGAAATTGGTTCATATTTTTGTGTCCAGTGACTTCGAATATAACAACATATATTGTTCTTGGGGCAGACAGTACCGCGTCGCCGTTGTGACCGTAGATAACGCAAAGAGCGGTGTAAAAAATATCATACCTCTCCACCTAATTGTTTCCCTTAAAAATAGTCTTCTTAGGTGGAATTAGGTGGTAAAAACCTAATACATTCCACTAAACCACTTACTCAATATCTTGATTCAGTATAGTCCTATACCAAATGCATGTATGTACATATGAAGAAGTCCTCCGTTTCTATTTGTGCCTAACAACGATCTCAACGAGAATAACCAAACCCAAATCCACTTATCTCTTAAAACTAAAATGAATACGCACTATTGTAAGCCCCGCCGGGAACTACATCGCCAGATTCTCCGAGAAATTCTCACAATACCCTAGAAGTCCCTAGAAATCGCAGACAAAGCTCTACGTTCTATGGAAGATCCTACCAGCAAGCAGTCGAAAGATCTGCAAGAGCTACAAAATGGCACCCTGGAGAGGCAAAGAGTGAGAAGCACTACACAGATCTTCGCCCATGGCAGACAAGGAAAAAAAGGCACTGGCCAATCAATAAACGCACAGGCCGATTAAGCAACGCCGTCTATAATAATTGTCCGAGTAAGAACACGCCGTCAAACGAAGCTTCTGTTATTAATGGGAGAAATAGAAAATTGTGCCCCGAAAAAACTATCCTGGGGTGAAGAAAGAGCTTATTTAACTACTAAAAAATTAATATTGGTTCTCGGAATGCGCGATCTGCTAAAAAGCAGCAGCTGAGTAAGTATGGGTTGTTTTCCCCCATTTTAATCCTGTCCGAAGTCGATTCCAATACGATAGTTTTTTTTTTAACAGTCAGCAAACACACTGTTGTCCTCTTTTCATTAAGGTGCTCCCACCGTCTCATGAGATGCCATTTTCAAATAGTATATTATGCAACACGTGCGTAATATATTTTTTGACTCGTGGGGGGTTTGTAACACGAGCCGAAGGCGAGTTTTACAATCCCACGAGTCGAAAAATATATTACGCACGCATTTCATACAAAATTTTATGTCATCGTGCCCGGAATCCGCGATTTAACCGAGCGAAGCGAGGTTAGAATCGCGCGATTACGGGCACCGATGGCATAAAATCAATAAAAAGCAATTGACAATGTGCTCAGAATGTGGAAGATCGTAATATATTATTGCACATATTTCAGAATCCAACTATACATTTCCATTCTTTTTCACCACAGGGATTTAAAATAATACTGAAAAGAGTATGTGAAAGTGTCGGGGTTATTGTGAAATGATTGTCGAATGCGACGACACTGCAAGAAGGCTAGAACATTGGAGCAGCGGGAGGCGAAGGAGAAACCGTTTGCACGCTTCCATTTGTATCTTATTTTTAAGGAACCTGGAAAACTTTTCACATCGTCTACGTCTCATTCCTCCTTTCTGCGTCGATGCTATTTGTTCAGGATAATACTGAATGTTGCACTTATTCACAAGACATTGTCATAATAAACTGTGAAACATAACCTGACTTCTCCGTGAATACGCCCCAAGGCACATACTATGGCCAATTGTATAATATGGTATGAGGTATACCGGACTACAATGATGCTAACTCCGCCAGACGAAAATACGGTATTGCTAAACGTATCGTGAAAAATTTAATTTATCTGCAAGTTTGTGTAAATAATTTGAGACTGAACAATCTTTTCCATTCTATCTATTGTGAGGGAAGAATAATAACGGAACTCGATTGACACCATTGTGACATATTTATTGGCTATACCGCATTTCATTTATTTCTTCCGCACGTTCCAGGGATGTGTCGGCACTTTGTTGTTTGCCCCCACCCTCTGCTCTGTTGAAATATGGTTGTGAGATTAGTCAAATCTTCGCGCCCTATTGACGTCACGATCAAATGCCACTCACATATTACCTAGAGTATTCCTTCTTAATACTTTGCGCTCCAGTCAACATGTGATGTATATACTGAATATAATAATTACGTACTAAATATTGTTCAGCTCTACTTTGTCGTCTCTGTGGGTTGTTAATTATTTAATCCTATCCACGGACTCCTAGTCAACAATATGCTCAAACAAATTTGCGGTGGTAGTACCTTAATTAAACCAATGTGAACAGCCCTATATATTAGATTTCGTTAAAGTTGAATATTGCACATTTAATTTCAAATGTATCACTGCATAACGGTATTGGGCTTACTTATGGATATGCTCGCTTGCTTAATAAGTGGCCAACTGTGTAAACAAGGATTCAATTGACTAGTAATCAAGGGGATCTCATTCAAGACTGTATAATGACTACCCAGGGCCACAGAAAGGCACTTGAGTTGAAGTTGAGCACTCGATACGCCGTTCCGCTAAGTCAGTTCAGTCCAATTCCAGTTCAACATCACTTCGTTCGCTTTAGTTGACTTCACAGCTGGAATCAGAGTTCGAGGTCGAGTCCAAGCCTAATCAGTGGCAGAGCTACATCGAAGTCGGCCGAGAGTCAGCCAACAAGACGATACTAATTCATTTTACAATATCTTGAACAGATATTTTACGAACAATATCTTGAACAGTAACTATGCCCTAGCCGCGCAAGTCTAACATAGGCTAACTCGTCCACGAGGCGTCGCTACATCGGAGCTGTATATGCCAGAAACGACTAAATTAACCAACGGAGGTTCACCTGTACTGACAGAAGTATTAGGTCAAGGTGACTCCGTAACTATTACCTAATTACGCAGTTAAGTAGCGCCAACTAAATCGGGCAGTGACAGTTACCCAACGGTTTAATTGGGAGGTTACTATTGATCCAACTGGCTGTTAGGTAACAGTTACCGAATAGCTAGTTGGTAATTTGAACAGCAGAAATACAGTGTGTTCCTCAACTAAATCGCGCGTTAACTCAACTGCAATTCGGTAACTATTACCAAATGCTCACTTATCTCAAATTGTTCTCGATTTGTGTCAACAGCCCCGGCACTCGAGTATCCACGGAATAGCGTAGATTATTGACACGAGAATAAGGGGGTAAAAATTGATTTAATTTAATAAGAACAAGAAAAAGATTAATTGAAATAATAGTAGAATCGAGCAATGATGTGTTCATCTAAATAATTATGATGTAATTAATTATTTTTGACGAAATTCTAGGGAATTATCGATGTCGATAAAAATCTAGAGAGAAAAATTCAATAAAATTAAATACTGTTGAAATCGGCGAACTATTGAATCAACTGTTATCGTTGTATTTATAACTAAATGCCTAGTGACGATCAACGAATAAAACAAAAAAGCTCAATCGAATACGACAAGTTCTTATAATCTTGTAACATACGCCACTGCTCCAAAGAATAAACTTATATTTTTAATT